CGCAATATAGGACACATTAGATAACTAAAATAATCTGATGGCGATTGGTAATGCTTATAATCATAAATAGTGGCTTTTTCTTTCATATCAATGCAAGAAGAGAATGAATGATGAGCTATAGGTATAAGCAAAGAATATAGGAGTTACCAATAGAAGAGGCGCCACATCGAAAAATTTCCTGTACTACAATTATCAAGTTCCATGAAGGGTGAAACAACTAATTGTGCCACTATAGCAATTTCATTGAAATCCTTGAAACGATTTTTAAAGTTATGATTCAAGTTAGAAACTATTCCTACATGTTATTTATTGACTGCCATATGGTTCTAATGGACTTTGATACATCTTTTCTGAAAGAACAGGAAACTGCCTGGGATCGCCATCGATTAAGTTTTGTTCCCAAAACTCAAGCTTCGTCTCTCCTGAATTAAGTTCTTTTAATTTTTCTGTAATATCCACAAAAAAACCAAAATCTCTAAGCCAGATTTAATTTTCCGGTTTCGGAATCGGTTCATCACGTTGTTTGAAAAATTAAACTATGGCAGATATGATATAACTATCTCGTCTTTATTTGTAAAGTTGACAAACAATGAATCTGCAGCTTCTATCGTCTGTTGTCCAATTAACTCATTTTTTAAATGTTTCAGTTTTTCCCTTCTGGTTGCAGGACGTAATGGGACTGATTTTTCAAAATTCGAATGTATAGTTTTATCGTTCCTCTCGATATTCCCTTTTTTAGCAACAGAAACAGATGTATTATACAGGGTGACAGGTAAATAGGTGTAAAACATTTTAGGAGGTGATAGTACAGCTCCTTTGCTATCAAAATTAGTACATAATACCATACCCTATATTCAAAGGTTAAAAAGTTATGGAAGATTTAATTTTTTTAAAAAAACAACCCAGATTACAGAGTAAAGTAGTTGAGATAAAAAAAGTTGGTGATTAAAACATTCTTTTTTTGGTGGTTTCAGATTATTATTAAAATAAATAATTCTCATCAATTAAAAAACATATGAAAACACTATTGAAAACGTATTTATTTTCATTTAAATGTTAAATGAAAATTTTTATTTTCAACTTTCACATTAAGAAGTCTTTTTTTTTCAAAAAAATCATAATAAAGAAAATGTACAAATAAAAAAACTTCCTCGTTTCATTAGGTTTCTAAAATGGTATAATAACATATCAGTAAGTAAACCATTTAACAAAACAATATTACTTTGCTAGAAAGGACCGCTAAGCGCATGTCATTGTACTGAGCAGGTAAACCGAGCCTTTCATGGTTCGACCCTTTTTGTTATTTTTTGTGCCCTGTGCCCGTATTCGGGTTTAAGTATTCGGAATCTGTCGTCGCTCCTCGGAAGCAAGCTCTGCGTGTGTTATGAATTGACACAGCTGACGGATCAAGGAAAGGAAACTAACGCTTAGGTTAGTTAGTAGAATATCAACCTTTAACGCGGTAGGACGTACTCTTACTTTTTTGATCAGTTTTAATAATGGCGAGTTACCGTAACGAAGAATACGCTGATATTCTGTTTTGTTATGGTTTAAGTGATGGAGATTCCGTTGAAGCCAGGCGAGAATACGAAAACCGTTTTCCGAATCGGCTAATACCGAGTCATCGAGTATTTGCTTCTGTGTACCAACGCGTCAAGGAAAGTGGACAGGTTCATGAGAGACGTCATGATGCTGGTAGACCTCGGTTGTTTGACGACGAAGACCGAGAGGCAAGACTGGAATGCTACGGCAGAGGCCCGACGACGTCTACACGAGTTATAGCAGACTTTACCCTTTCCATTACACACCGGTTCAAGTATTAGAAGAAGGAGATCCCGCAAGAAGAATTGATTTTTGTCGATACATGCTTCATCGGGATCAAGATGAAAATGACTATTTAACTAAAATATTGTGGACCGACGAGTCTAAGTTTGACAGAGAGGGGACAACAAATTATCACAACTAACATTATTGGGCCCCACGAGAGGCAAATCCCCACATGGCAAAGCCAAGAGCCCATCAAAGAAGATTTTCGGCAAACGTGTGGATGGGAATCATTCATACGTATCTAATTGGAAGAGTTTTTTTGCCTGACAACTTGAATGGCGAATCCTTTTCCGAGATCCGAACTCTGGCAGTATCTCGAGACCTGCCTCTGAATATCAGGATGCAGATGATCTACCAACACGATGGCTGTCCCGCGCATTTCCGTCTGGGTGTTAGACAGTGGCTGGGCGAGAAATATCCTTGTCGCTGGATTGGCCGGGGTGGACCGACACCGTGGCCAGCGAGGAGCCCAGATTTAACACCGTGTGACTATTATTTATGGGGGCACATGAAGTCACTGGTGTACGCTGAGCCCATAGACACTCTTGCACAGTTGAAAGAAAGAATTATTGCTGCTGCTGACACTATCAGAGGACAACTAACTGGCCGCATCACGCGTACCAACATGAGAAAAAGACTACGGGCTTGCATAAGAAACGGCGGGCGTCAGTTCGAACAACAATTGCAATGAATTTTACCTTCATTTCATTATTGTATTTTACTTACCAATTGTAGTAACTTTTAGTCAGTTTTTATTATTCTGTAGTACAATTACAACTGTGTAAATAATCTAATCGTATAACTTAACCGTAGTTTAAATAATAACTATCCCATAGCTTACAGTTACATTATTTTCACAAAAACACTTTCTTATCAATCAGAGAGTTGAAAATAGGAGACAAGCCATTGGTAAATTTACTCCCTATTGTTGTATTACAGTATATTATGTTAGTTTCACACATTTTTTGCGCACTTATCATACCAATTTAGATTCCTTATGAAACAAGAATATTATTTAAATTATTTGTACGTTTTTTTGTATACTGATTTTTTTGTAAAACACCTTACTTACTGTAAAACGTTATTTGTTTTTCTTAGTTAAACATTTTTGAATGAAAATAAATACGTTGTTTGGTATTGTTATCGAATCTTTTTTAATTTATAATAGTTAATTATTGAAATAATAACCCAAAACCACAAAAAACAATTTTTTAATCGCCAACTTTTTTCTCTCTCGACTTTTTTACTCTGAAATATGGATTGTTTTTAAAAAAATCTTAAATCTTCAATAACTTTTCAACCTTTGAATATAGGTATTATATACTAATTTCGATAGCAAAGGGGCTGTACTATCACCTCCTAAAACGTTTTACACCTATTTACCTGTCACCTTGTATAACAAACATACATTTTTACCTTTAACTTCTGTAAAGAAATATTGTTCTTCCCATTTAGAATGGAAATGGTATGTTTCAGTTTTAAGCTGAGCGCACTGTCGCCGCGCCTCGCGTATTTATTCCGTTCAAAGTAATCGAGATCGTTCTCGAACAGGTCGCTCACCGCAGTGTTGCCGCTGTTCGTGTTCATTATGGGAATTTACAAAATTTACGGAAGCTTCTATGATTTATACACCTTTTTAAAATATGTTGTGGGCCACCAGAATTGGTCTAAACTTTCAAACGCTTTACATTTAGAGAAATCAGTATACAGGGTGTTCCTTAATGATATGCGTCGAGCTCTGACAATATACTGACGAATTATCTGCTGACTAATTTTACAGTCAACAAACAGTCAGAAGTTTCTGTAGGAACAGCGGATTACTTGTCGGTCATCGGTCTTACCTCCCTCAGCCAACTCTTAACTATCTCATATATGCAATCAATACAATCAGCGACGTGCCAGTGACAGCTAACAGCGTAAACTAGGTCATGACTTGTCGCCGACTATCAGTTTTGATTGTCAGCAAACAGGCTGTACGAACAAACCAAATATATGATGATAAATCGTTGATAAATAATATGAATATAAGCGGTCCTATAATTGAACCTTGATGGACGCCCAGACAAATGTTATATGCTGATGTAATGTAATCTTCCTTCACCACGAAACGAACATTTTGAACGTTAATCCTGCGACTACTACTGCACCTCCCGTCCACCACCCTCTCCTCCCTCCAACCCAAAGTCTGAATCTAAATCATTGATTCCCAAAGTGGTCTATATCGACCCCTAGAGGTCTATGACAACCTGCAAGGGGTCTACGTCAGCGAAAAAAAATTTGGGGGTCCATGAAATGAATATGGGGGTCCACGAAAGTGGGTCTCAACACATACACTGAAAGTACCTATTTACTTACATCATACTATCTTATAATATCAAAACATATACATTATTTATAAAAGTACCTATGAAGCAAAAAATTTATTATATATGTTTATAAAATTGTGTAAGTTGTAGGATGTTGGTATTCGCTTTGTGGTCGCAATACATTTTGAACTTGTAAAAACCTGAGAGTCGCAGTCTCAGAGCTTCGCTACCTTGCACTGACTTGTTCAATTCGTCACTCTATAAATACGAATGTGGGACAAATACGTTTATTCGTTTCCTGAATCTTGAAAAGGAAAGTGCTAAGAAAATATTTTAAAAAATATAAACAGATAGTATATCACACAAATTACAGTGAGTCAGTGTTATTTTGTTTGAGAGTGCTGGAGAAAAGTAAGTACATTATTTTTTATTAAATTTTAGTTTTGTACTCGTAGTTAGCAAAGATAGATAAATTACGCCAATCATGACTTTAGTTATTAGTAGTTAAATATTCAATCATGCAAAATTACACGAGTACTCCTCAATAGTTTCTTTTTGAAAGTTTTAGCAATCGGTAATATAATTACAGTGCAATCTCCGTAATTCGAGCTAATTGTTGCAAGAATATGTTCGAATTATGGAATCTTTTCGGAAGAATCAAAAAATATTTTTATTATACAGCTGCTGGATTTTCTGTCCTATTTAAATAATTTAATTTTGCACACAGATGACTGATGCCATGTCCGAATCTAAAAGAAATTTAGACACTACAGTGTTGATTATTTGAAATTTGGCTTCATTCCATCATTGCCGGACAAACAATCGCCTTTGTGCCTTTTATGCAACAAAGTTTTGGGCAATGACGCTATGAAACCATCTAAACTGCAAGATCATCTGAGAAGATGCCACCCTGATAAAACAGAGAAAGATTTGAAATACTTTCAAACACTCAAAGATAAATTTCAGAAGAGACCTACACTGGACAGAATGTTCGCTTCGACGTCACAAAGAAATGATGATGGTTTGCGGGCGTCTTGCAATATCTCGTTACTTATAGCAAAATCCGGAAAACCTCATACTATCGGAGAGAAGTTAATTTTGCCAGCCGTTGAAGAGGTTTTAAAAACTGTTTTACACAAACCTGCATCTGATATCATTAAAACAATTCCCTTAAGCAACAATATTGATGAAATGAGTTCTGATATTGAAAGCTTTTTTTGTAATTATTTGCAAACGACCCATTTCTCTATACAACTGGACGAGTCAACTTTACCTGATAATGCAGCATTATTATTGGCATATGTTCGTTTTATTATGAATCAAGAAATCTACGAAGAACTGCTCTTCGCAAGAACTTCAATAACCGACACTAAAGGTGAACCAATATTTCATGTTTTGAAGGATTACTTCATTGAAAAAGCAATTCCTTTATCAAATATAATATAATTAGCTACAGATGGAGCACCTGCCATGGTTGGACGTTATCGTGGATTTATAAGATATTTAAAACAAAATGTGTCAGGGGTGTTAGCAATACATTGCGTCATCCATCGACAACATTTAGTTGTTAAAATTTGAGTGTTAGATTGCATGAATCACTTCATTTAGTCATTGATGCAGTAAACCGAATCCGAAGCAACGCGTTGAATACGCGGTTATTTGCGCAGTTTTGTGAAGAAAATGACGAACACTTTCATCAATTACTCCTTCACACTGAAGTACGCTGGCTGTCGAAAGGCTTATGTTTGACAAGATTTTTTGCACTTTTTGAGACTATTTTAGAATTTCTGGATACTAAAGATGAAATTTTAAAAGAAAATTTAATGAAGAGGAAAACAGACATCGCCTATTTAACAGATTTGTTTACAAAATTTAATATGGTTAATTTGCAATTACAAGACAGTTTAAATTTGATTAAAACAAAGTCCATCTTATCAGCGTTTCTTGCCAGAGTTAAACTAATGAAGCAAAATATTGGACGGGGCGAATTTTCTCAGTTCTCCAATTTGTCACAGACAAGCTGCCAGGAAGACGACGTTTCAACTTACGTTCAACATTTAAATGCCCTCTATTCAGATTTTGAATCTAGGTTTGAGGATATTTTGACTATGGTAATACCACCGTGGATAATTAATCCATATGGTGACATAGAAGACACGAATGTCATTATACAAGAGGAACTGACTGAACTAAGTACAAACGAAGAACTTAAGGTTCAGTTTAAAAACGGATATCAGCAATTCTGGCTGCAAAACAACATACCCGTTACTTATCCCGTATTATGGAATATAGCGAGAACATTTTTAATTCCCTTTCCATCGTCATACCTAGTGGAAAGGGGGTTCAGCGCTGTTACCAATCTCCTAACGAAAAAAAGAAACAGACTGGACATCATTAGCCGAGGAGATTTAAGATTAACTCTTACAAAATTGACGCCAAATGTTGATAACTTATTATTAAAGCATCAGGTTCATCCTTCTCACTAAAAATATTGACTTATTGCTTATGTTATTTTATTTATAGTTTATTTTATGTTTATTGGTGTCTGACCAATAAATGCCTGGATTGGGCATAAGTGCCCGCATTGCTTATTTTAAAGAACCCCCCTTTATAGAAAATATTTTTTTTAAATTATTCTGAAAATTCAAGGATAGATACACATTAAAATTCGTTAACTTTTTGTCTATTTTTAGATAACTTAAACGTATAAGAAGCGGAATTTAATCAACTAACAGTGAAATTATTGAAGAACATACGTTTATGTTATAATTAATAAACGAGCTCGCTTATTGTACTATTTATGTAAAAAACTTTTTTTTTAATTATTTTTCACTTTTTTTTATTTTATCCCTCTTATTTTTTTTTTCAATCCGGGCACTTATTCCCAATGCGGTCACTTATTGGTCAGACACCTGTTTATTTAATGTTACGTATATAATAGATACAAAATTTTATTTGACTAGGTTTAATTTAAATTCAATTAATAAATGTATAAATTAACATGTGTTTTTACTTTAAGTTTTTAACACTAAACTTCACTACAGTTAGAAATTTAGAGGAAATCAATATCAGGCAAGTAGGGGGTCGGTCTACCCAACACGGAAAAACATGGCAAGGGGTCTACGACACAAAAAAGTTTGGGGAACTCTGATCTAAATTAATGTCGGGGGAGTGACTCAACAAAAGTTCTGAAACCAAACCTGCGAATTTCCTTACCATAGACATGAATATTTATCTTTAGCCTAAGTTTATTCGCAATACTGAGGCAAACCCTAATTAAATTGTATTACTCCACAGGAATCCACACTTCATATTGTTTCATCTTGTGAACGAGTGTTAAAATTCCAGATTTTCCATGTGTGTTCTCACATCGCGAGAATCGAACAATAACAACTCGTGGAAGTGCAAGTGAAACATAAGGAAAAATAAGTCTGGCTGTTTATTATTCCGTTCCAGCTTGAAGGTGTATTTTCGAACGCGAATCTTATATCCTTCAGTATCGCAGCTATATATAGTACGCTAGACGTCATACGCAGCGAGTGGAATTAAGAGATAAACATGTGTTTGAATACTTGAAGCAACAGGTCGGGTGAACGACACCCATAACACAATTTGAAGCGTTTACAATTGGAGAAATCACAGTTTCGATCGCAATTCGGTGAATCATCTATTGACTCTGCACGGATATAGGCCCAGATTGGGAAATCTATCGGAATAATACAAATCGATACAAATTTATTTTTAATGGGTAGTGGTTTATGTTTCATCATTCAGTTTTAAGCATAGATAACGCTCTACTTATCTCATATCGCTTCAAGATAAACCATTGGACAGGAATTTTAAATGGTAAAATAATCGGTCCGTTTGAGTTCCCAGAGACTTTGACGACTGCTGAAGTTTATTTGGATTTTTTGAAAAATCATGTACAAAATTTATTGGTGGACGTGCCACCGAGTATTTACAGGGACATGTGGTTTCAGCATGATGGCTGCCCAGCGCACTATGCACTCTCAGTGAGAGAGTATCTCGATCAAAACTTTCCAGGCAGATGGATAGGGCGTCTGGTACAATACCGTGGCCAGCCCGGTCACCAGATTTGAATCCGTTAGATTTTTTTTACTGGGGAACTGTAAAAGGAAAAGTGTATTTCAAGCCGATTCAAATGTAGCTGGGCTACGGCAAAGACTATTGGAAGCAGCTGCGTTTGTTAATAACCCTGGATTCGCTCGTTTAATAACCCGATCTTTTTTAAGAAGATGTCGAGCGTGTATTGCGGCTGAAGGAAAACAGTTTGAGCATTTGCTGTAAAGGTAAATCATCATCAGCAGCATTTTGACGCCCACTGTTGTGCAAACAGTTATCCTTAAGGGTCCTTGTGCGTTTTCATAATCGCTGTTTAATTAGGAAATTTTGAAAAATTGTCATCAGTTTTTTTCAAATAAAAATTGTGCATAAGTTAACGAGTAATCTTCTAAGTGTTATACCATTTTGGAATCGTTAATAAATGCGCCAACTTTTAAGGTTACTTGCCAAACTCTCGTAGTACATTTTTTCCAGTACAGCCAGTTAAAGTTGAGCAAAGATTTACTTTGGAATACTTGGTTGGGAAATAAGTGGCAATTTTTCCTGAACGAGAAAAGTTGGCAGTAAAGTTGAGACACCAGTTTGAATATGCCTTATTCATCATTACATTGTAAAATAAAATCCAAAAAAAGTTAATATTTGTAGTAACAGGAGTTGACAGACTGTCGTAGGGTGTGAAATTTCTATATCTTTTTCAAAGACCTATAATTTTCAAAACACATACATAAAATTTTTTTAAATATTTTTCTGATAGCTGTTATGACTTTGCCTATCACCCGGTTTCGGCTTGACGTCGATTTCTGGAACACCCTGTATTTCCGTGCAAATAGATCTCCGTCAGTCTACAAGGTTTCATGAAGGCAAGTCCATAGTTACTAATGTCTCAGTATGTTTGTTAATCAATGGCCAGACAACTTCAAACGGATGTAATGTACAGGGTGTTCCTTAACGATATGCGAATATTTAAGGGTGTGAATCTACATGAAAAATTAATGTTAGTTTGCCTTATAAACTATGGTCCAAAAATGTTTGCTTACAAAAACTCGGGGTGTTGATGTTTTAGGAAAAATTGAAATTAATCAATATTTTCAGAACCGCTTCAGATATTTCACTGATATTTAGTACGTAGTGAAAGTTAATAAAGCTGCATATTTTTTTTAGCTTAACAGTGGCGTGCGTACGGGTATTATCTTCGATATTTTTTAAGAAAAAAATGGTACGCCAATGGTTTTTTGCCAAATAGAAATTATTTTTGAATTCCCCGTTCCATTTGAAATAAACGATCTCTCTTGAATTGCTTTTCTTCGATGCGCCATTTTTGAGTAAAAAAATAAAAACCGTTCTATTGTCTAACTTGCAAAATTGGGAGAGAATGATTACAAAATTGTTGAAAATGGCTCCCTTCACTTAGTATGCATGCTTCCGCGCTCCTTCTCATGGAATTGCGCACTCGTTGAAATATCCATGGAGTGTTTTTTATTCTATCACAAGCTGCAACTATTCTTTCTCTTAATTCCTCTACAGCAGAGTTCCCCAAACTTTTTTTGTGTCGTAGACCCCTTGCCATGTTTTCCGTGTTGGGTAGACCCCCTACTTACCTGATATTGATTTCCTGTAAATTTATAACTGTAGTGAAGTTAGTGTTAAAAACTTAAAGTAAAAACACATGTTAATTTATACATTTATTAATTGAATTTAAATTAAAACTACTCAAAATAAAATTTTGTATCTGTTATGTAAAATATACGTAACATTAAATAAACAGGTGTCTGACCAATAAGTGCCCGCATTGGGAATAAGTGCCCGCATTGAAAAAAAATAAGAGGGATAAAATAAAAAAAAGTGAAAAATAATAAAAAAAAAGTTTTTTACTTAAAATAGTACAATAAGCGGGTCGTTTATTAATTATAACATAAACGTATGTTCTACAATAATTTCACTGTTAGTTTGATTATATTTCGCTTCTTATACGTTGAAGTTATCTAAAAATAGGCAAAAAATCAACGAATTTTATCCTTGAATTTCAGAATAATTTAAAAAAAATATTTTCTATAAAGGGGGGTTCTTTAAAAAAATCAATGCGGGCACTTATTCCCAATGCGGGCATTTATTGGTCAGACACCAATAAACATAAAATAAACTATAAATATATATAAATATGTTTAGTGAGAAGGATGAACCTGATGCTTTAATAATAAATTATCAACATTTGGCGTCAATTTTGTAAGGGTTAATCTTAAATCTCCTCGGCTAATGATGTCCAGTCTGTTTCTTTTTTAGTTAGGAGATTGGTAACAGCGCTGAACCCCTTTTTCCACTAGGTATGACGATGGAAAGGAAATTAAAAATTTCCTCGCTATATTCCATAATACGGGATAAGTAACGGGTATGTTGTCTTGCAGCCAGAATTGCTGATATCCGTTTTTAAACTAAACCTTAAGTTCTTCGTTTGTACTTAGTTCAGTCAGTTCCTCTTGTATTATGACATTCGTTTCTTCTATGTCACCATATGGATTAATTATCCACGGTGCTATTACCATGGTCAAAATATCCTCAAACCTAGGGTCAAAATCTGAATAGAGGGCATTTAAATGTTGAACGTAAGTTGAAACGTCGTCTTCCTGGCAGCTTGTCTGTGACAAATTGGGGAACTAAGAAAATTCGCCCCGTCCAATATTTTGCTTCATTAGTTTAACTTTGGCAAGAAACGCTGATAAGATGGACTTTGTTTTAATCAAATTTAAACTGTCGCCTTGTAATTGCAAATTAACCATATTAAATTTTGTAAACAAATCTGTTAAATAGGCGATGTCTGTTTTCCTCTTCATAAAATTTACTTTTAAAATTTCATCTTTAGTATCCAGAAATTGTAAAATAGTCTCAAAAAGTGCAAAAAATCTTGTCAAACATAAGCCTTTCGATAGCCAGCGTACTTCAGTGTGAAGGAGTAATTGATGAAAGTGTTCGTCATTTTCTTCACACAACTGCGCAAATAACCGCGTATTCAACGCGTTGCTTCGGATTCGGTTTACTGCATCAATGACTAAATGAAGTGATTCATGCGATCTAACACTCAACTTTTTAGCAACTAAATGTTGTCGATGGATGACGCAATGTATTGCTAACACCCCTGACACAGTTTGTTTTAAATAGCTTATAAATCCACGATAACGTACAACCATGGCCGGTGCTCCATCTGTAGCTACTGATATTATATTTGATAAAGGAATTGCTTTTTCAATGAAGTAATCCTTCAAAACATGAAATATGATTCACCTTTAGTGTCGCTTATCAAAGTTCTGCGAAGAGCAGTTCTTCGTAGATTTCTTGATTCATAATAAAACGAACGTATGCCAATAATAACGCTGCATTATCAGGTAGAGTTGACTCGTCCAGTTATATAGAGAAATGGGTCGTTTGCAACTAATTACATAAGAAGCTTTCAATATCAGAACTCATTGCATCAATACGTCTTTCAACAGTATTGCTGCTTAAGGGAATTCTTTTAATGAAATCAGATGCAGGTTTGTGTAAAACAGTTTCTAACACCTCTTCAACGGCTGGCAAAATTAACTTCTCTCCGATGGTATGCGGTTTTCCGGATTTTGCTATAAGTAACGAGATATTGTAAGACGCCCGCAAACCATCATCATTTCTTTGTGACGTCGAAGCGAACATTCTGTCCAGTGTAGGTCTCTTCTGTAATTTATCTTTGAGTGTTTGAAAGTATTTCAAATCTTTATCTGTTCTATCAGGGTGGCATCTTCTCAGATGATCTTGCAGTTTAGATGGTTTCATAGCGTCATTGCCCAAAACTTGTGCATAAAAGGCACATAGGCGATTGTTTGTCCGGCAATGATGGACTGAAAGACAAATTTCAAATAATCAACACTGCACTGTCTACATTTCTTTTTGGATTCGGACATGGCATCAGTCATCTGTGGGCAAAATTAAATATTTAAATAAGACAGAAAATCCAGCAGCTGTATATTAAAAATATTTTTTGATTTTTCCGAGAAAATTCCATAATTCGGACATCTTGCAACAATTAGCCCGAATTACGGAGATTGCACTGTGATTATATTACAGATTGCTAAAACTTTCAAAAAGAAACTATTGAGGAGTACTCCTGTAATTTTGCATGATTGAATATTTAACTACTAATAACTAAAGTCATGATTGGCGTAATTTATCTATCTTTGCTAACTACGAGTACAAAACTAAAATTTAATAAAAATAATGTACTTACTTTTCTCCAGCACTCTCAAACAAATAACACTGACTCGCTATAATTTGTATGATATACTATCTGTTATATTTTTTAAATATTTTTTAGCCCTTCCTTTTCAAGATTCAGGAAACGAAAAAAATACGTATTTGTCCCACATTCGTATTATAGAGTGACGAATTGAACAAGTCAGTGCAAGGTAGCGAAGCTCTGAGACTGCGACTCTCAGGTTTTTACAAGTTCAAAATGTATTGCGACCACAAAGCGAATACCAACATCCTACAACTTACACAATTTTATAAACATATTAATAAATTTTTTACTTCATAGGTACTTTTATAAATAATGTATATGTTTTGATATTATAAGATAGTATGATGTAAGTAAATAGGTACTATCAGTGTGTGAGATCCACTATCGTGGACCCCCATATTCATTTCATGGACCCCCAAATTTTTTTTCGCTGACGTAGACCCTTGCAGGTTGTCATAGACCCCTAGGGGTCGATATAGACCACTTTGGGAATCAATGCTCTACAGTGTTAATGGGACTTGTGTGCACTAGTGTCTTAAATAGCCCCACAAAAGAAATGTAAACTGTTGAGGTCGGGGACCTTGGTGGCCATTCTTGGGCCCACCGCGGCCAATCCAACGATTGGATAAACAGTTTGTAAATAATTACGAACCGCTACCTGAAATGCGCGTGCACACCATCATGTATGTACCACATATTGTTTCTTATTACTAACGGAACATCATCAAGCAGCAAAGGCAACAGTTGTTGAAGAAAATTGAGGTAAGTCTGTGCGTCAATCGTCCCGGCAAGAAGAATGGACCAATAAAGGGTTGCGAATAATTCCTGCCCATACGTTAACCGAAAATTGGTGTTGGAATGAGTTTCGGTTACGAAATAGGGATTTTCATCTGCCCACAAATGATTATTCTGGAAATTCTGAAAGGCATTTCGAAAAATTAGCTTTGCCCGTGGCAGAATCATTGATTCAAATTGCGGATTTTGTGTAATTTTTGTTGACAAAAGGTCACACGCCTAGAAAATCAATGGGAAGTAATGCTGTACTCTTAAAATATGGTAAGGATATAACAAAAAAATCCACTAAAATTCTCCAAACAACAAATATTTAAGTGTCTAGCGATCTTCTCGTACTCATTTCGGGATGTTCTTCGACTTCGTGCAGCACTGCTTCCTCATTTCGGAGTTCTCACACTTAGAGGTCTATCTTCTGATGTCCCTTTCGGAGAGAACCAGTTTCAAAGCCAGACAATATGTTTGAAAGCCAGTGACATATTCCAGAGCAACAGATATATGCATTTCATGCAATCTTGTTTCTTTTTGTCCAAAGTTGTTGTGTAGATTTAGTACGAAATAAATGATGTGAATCAAAAA